CGGCTTCTTCCAGGACTTCAACCCCAGGTGAGCGTGGCACGGGCAGCGCCGGCCTGGCAGGGTTAGCCCGGGAGCCCGGCCGGGAGCAGCGCTAGGTGCGGGACCCGTCAGCTTTGGAGCGGAGCGCGGCCTCGGGTGCCCTTCCGCACCGCGAGTTTGGGCGGCGTTTGGAACACGCCGTTCCTGACCGGTTTTCTGCCCTGAATCACTGAATCAGATGGGTTGGAAAAGAACTCTGATATCATCGAATCCAACCTTTTCAGCGCCCCGAGTGTCGATGCGTGCTCCCCGCAGCTAGTTCGCGGTCAGGGGCTGGGAAGGCGAGCGCTCTACATCTGCGTTCCAGCCACACTTCCAGTCATTTACTTTGTTACTGTGTAACTTTCTCAGATTACTCCCAGGCTCTTTATGGTGGTCGAGTGTTTCACCGCAGTGTTTTGCGGTGTGGAGGCTCCGCACGCCCCTGCGCAGGCTCTGACCCTGGCCCTGCGGCGGAGGCTCCGTGTCCGCAGGTGTGAGCAACCCTGGGCTGCTCGGGAGCACCGGGGAAGGCGACCTCTTCCTTCGGGCTTATTTGAAATAAGCAGTGTGATGGTCACTGCAGCGTGGGCTTCTGCTGGCTCTCCAAGCAAGTACGGACATGAAACTTTTAAAGAAACTGAGAGAATGAGTTAAATTTTACGGGGTTTTACCAGGTATTTTACGACCACAGACTAAGGGCCTGCAAGTAATTTGTGCAAGGTGGCTTGAGATGCTGAGAGTCCTGGAAAAGCCTTGCACGTGAAAGAGCCTTACACGAAGCCAGTTAGAGCAGGCTGTGTTCAGTCAGTTGTTTACACAAACAAAAGGGTAAGCAAAACTCCGGGAAATGCATTGTTACAGAGGCTGAAATAAACAATTGAATAACGTGTGATAGGAGTAATGGAAAAGTAATAGCAGAAGTCCTAGAAGCTTATGAAGTTTTGTTACTGCAGAGCCATGCTTGCTCTTATTTGGGTGCTGAGTGATGAATGAGCAAGCTGAATATTGCACTTTTGCTGGTGTCTTTGTGTTCTGATGCGCCTGGAGCACCCAGGGAGCAGTGGTCTTTCAGTGCTGTATTGCGGAGCCACAGAAAGTATGTATTACACAAATGTTGAATGTCAAAAAAAGGACGACTGGCTGAGGAGCTGAGACATCTCTTTGTTGTTATGAAGTGTGACAGGTTTGTATCATCCTATCCTGAAGTAGTTTTATCAAGCATGTGGGGAGATGCTGACACAATAAATCTAGTTTTCATTCAGGTGCAGATGAGACACTTGTTCTGAGTAGAGACAAAACAGCTTGATATCAAATGTAGTGATCCTGATCTGATGAATGCTTTGTTGTTCGATGTGAGAGTGTGCTGTTGGAGGAATGGTAGTATTCCTGACTGTTGCTTCATTATTCTGTTTCTCAGGTTATCCATGTTTTAAAAGACATACAATTACTTCACTGAAACAATGTTGAAACCTAATTAGGAGTTTTATAAAGCAGTCCATGAGATTTTCGTGGATGGATGGGAGATTTTTCCTTTCCTGTCCTTTGAGGAAGTCGCCTACTGTGTAATTATTGTGTCTGATTTTTGGTGGTACAAGCAGTTGTTGTACCACTGCTCAAGTATTCCAATTATGTTTATTCATTCTTAAATTGACTGTGTTATAAACTGTATCAGTGTATCTATTTTAAATTTCTTAGCATCATCCTCAATATTGCAATGAGAAACTACAGTGTATAATAGGTAACTTTGCTAAAAGTGTAACCTGTTCAGTTTTTCTTTACTATAATATTGTTTTTTTAACTGAATGCAAATATTTCAGAGAAATAATTCTCTGAAATTTGCCTTATTACAATTTGTAATAAATTTTAACCTTTAGTTAAAAATGATGTGGATAAAATTTCATCAATTATGTAACTCAATTTTGAATATCAAAAGCAATCTCATTTGATTTATATGACAGAATACATTTTTTAAAACATGTCTAGGTGGCATATTTGTGAGCCTCTAATAATACAGCTCCTGACTGGATCCTTGTGGAAGGGAACTTTATCTCAATCCATTCACTGAGATTGTTATGCAAAAATGCTTTTGATGTGTTTCCTTGAAGCAATGGTTTTATAAGTATAAGAGATGACATGCTGTATCTGTGATGAAATATTTGATTCTTTGCCAAGAAGCTTGAAGCATTTTCTATTAGGAAGTATCCCAGTGAAAGTTCAGCTATGACTGATTTGTTGTCCTCTACAATGTTAATGTGAAGATGTGAAGTTGCCTGCCTTGATACCTGACTGTTTGTTTGTTCAATAGCAAATTCCTTATTTATGCCTGCCTGCTGCTCTTCTCTGTGTTGCTCTCTCTACGTCTGGACGACAAAATTCAGTGGAGTTACTGGGCTGTGTTTGCTCCAATATGGCTGTGGAAGTTAATGGTGATTGTTGGTGCCTCAGTGGGAACAGGAGTATGGGCCCGAAACCCACAGTATCGGTAAGTTGATGATGTTTGTTTGGCAAAACAGAGGGAATGTTGTGTCTTGTCAGTCTAGGACAAAATAACTTTCACATCTTTAAGTACATCAGTGTTGAATTTTTTGGTAATTTGAGTTGAATGTGAATTTAAAGAGCCCAGGGCAAAAGAAAAAATACCTTAAATGAAGTACAATAAATGTATTTTCTGTCTGTGATGAATATTAAATGAAAAATTTTGGTGCACAGATCTCCTGATACACCCACATTTTGCATGGTTCAGGTCTTATTTACCCCTTCTAGTATTGGGTCTAATGGTGTAGGGAGAATCTGTGTGCTGTCATTTTACAGGCATTTTACTTTTAGGAACAGAAAATATCTGTTGCAATACTCTGGCTTAGGTAAATAGATTCTGGGGAAAGATGTTGATTCAATGAATGCTGGTGCAGAAATCAAATAGATCATTTTAAATTTAGTTTATTTCCTAACAGCCTGCGTGATAGCTGACTGTTGATACACTAGCAACTAGAAACCCTGTTTTATCTGCTCAGCAATGGAATCCTTAAAATTTTTTCAAATTGTAAAAATCCCACTGCACCCTTCGAGGAAAATACTTCCAACATACAGCTTTATGGGCAAGAAATCCTATTAGGTCATCAGGAGAGGAGTTTAATGGGTATAAGGTGTATGTTTATTAAAAACAAGCGTTAATATCTGATGCTCAGGTTTATGTCCTGGGATGTTTGCAGAGTAATGTACTTTCTTACAGGCAAGTAAATTCTTCCTTATCCTCTCTTCAGAGCAGAAGGAGAAACCTGTGTCGAGTTCAAAGCTATGTTAATTGCAGTTGGCATCCACCTGCTACTGCTGATGTTTGAAGTCCTAGTGTGTGACAGGATTGAAAGAGGAACGCATTTCTGGCTTCTGGTCTTCATGCCACTGTTCTTTGTGTCTCCAGTCTCAGTTGCAGCTTGTGTGTGGGGATTCCGACATGACAGGTCTCTGGAGGTGAGGTTTGATTTGTGATGCATGAAAGTCATGGCAGTTCAGGACTTGGGATCAGTTCTGTGATGGTTTGTCTCTCAGGCAAGCAGAATACAACAGACTACATCAGTCCAATTAATTGCACTTTTCTGTAAATGCACTCACCTGCAAATAGGAGTGAAATCAGGGTCAGGAATAATACAACTTTTTCTAGTATCTTCTAGTGTTTTCAACTACCAAATTGCAGCATATTTTGAACCTGCTTTTTGATTATTTTATGTTAAAATAACTCGCCAGGAACTCTGTAGTATAGATCAACACCAGACACTTGCATGGAAACAATAAAAAAAAATTCACTGACTGTAAGCACTGTGTCTAGGCAGAATTGAATTTCCAGAGCCCCATGTTAAAATGTCTTAATGTCACAATCTGTGTGTTTAATTTTTAATTTGGGAATGTAAATGGTAGGCAGTAACATTAAGGTTTTCTTTTCTGCCTCTATCTTATCTCTAACTTCAGTTTTGGAAGAACCTTGGAAGGATTCTCAAGGTGCTCCCACAATTCTGACATTATGCAGTAAATTTAGAATTCATGTTGAATTTTTTTAAGAAGTTTTTTTTGTTATGCTATGTCCTCAAACTACCCCATGACAATTAAAAATCTGATTTTTAAATGAAGCTGAGCTTTTTCAGGTATTTTCATTTCAAAGGGCTATTTCTTTAACATTAGCATAAAATGAGTTTTTCATTAGAGAGAAACATTTTTAGTAAGTGATTGTTATGATGGCTGGTAAACTGATATCCTAAGTTCATTTTGAAACATTTGTCAACAGAATTTTATTTTGCAGGGTTTTATTACTGTGGACCTGATTTTCACTGAGCCTGAGGGAATTTCAGGCTGTCAGTGGCAGATCTGTTCTCAAGGGAAAGTTTCTTGGGAGATCTTGCACCCAAGGACAACATTTGCAAACCATCTTGTTTTCTCAAAACAGTTCTGCATAACTGTAGATAACATGTTTTTCTCTTGTCCCACCTATGGGACAAGAGGTGATTTTCCCTACCCCATCATGTTAACCCTGTAGCATAAGACCCTATAAAAACTGAAAAATTCGGAGAATAAAGGCCCCTTTTGCTAGCAATTCGTGGTGTGTTTGCTGTGAACCCACATTGATACATCGTGTCCAACAGCGACATATTACCAGTTAAACTGCTAAAAGTAAAATTTTTGTGGAAGTGCTTGCCATCTACTGGATGATGCTTGATTGCCCGTTGATTTACAAATGACTGCACAGCTGCTAAGTACTGGCAGAAGAAGGTGGAATCCATAAAAGGCAACAGCTGTCTCAACTCTTTGGCTTTTTTTTTTTTTTTGGTGGGGTGTTTGTTTTTCTTTGTTTGTTTTACTCTTAGTCATCTTCACTTAGTGCTGTTCTACTTTCTCTTCTTTTTACTCTGTGAAGATTTCATTATTTCTCTTTCATTTGCTAGAAACATGAGGGGTCTGCCTTTAATCCAGGACATTAATATTTGACTTCAGTAATCAAAGCAATTGTTAATCTATTATTATTTTCACAAGTATTTAATCTGAAATACATTATCTGCTCATTCCTGTTCTGCATATGGTTAGGTGATCAATAAGTTCATGCTGTGGTTTTTGTCTTTGTATCATGTTGAGCTCAGAAAAAGCTTCCTTTTATGTGTTACACTATTTCAGTCAGTAAAGCACTATTTATTTAAAGCATGTTGAGTCATTAAGTTGTGAGCTGCTGCAAATATGTGTGCACTTGCCATATAGATCTCATGTGTTAACTTGATTCTAAATATTTACAGCAATTGATCCTCTGGTTTTTATATTTTTCTCTCTCTTTGCTCTTGCAGCTTTCTGGTTGCTTGGTCTTACACTTGAGGTGGGGGAGGGGGTTGGTGGTTTATTCTTTTAAGAAAGGCAGTGGTACAAAATTATTTTAAATCTACTTTTTCAGTCTTCTTAAAGTACTTTATAGTTGAACAGTGGAGACTGGCGTGGTCCTTGAAGCTGGCAAGTGTCTGCTGCCTGTTGGAATTTTGATTCCCTGTACTGTAACTTTTAAAGGCATTTATCCAGATCACAGTCTACGCAATTACGTGTGTTAGTGAAAAGTAGCATGTAGTGTCTGCCTTCAGAGAAATACTACATTTAAAACATAACTGCATATTTTTACTAAAATGAATAATGTTTCTAGCTTGCATTCAAAAGCTTCAGTTAGCCTTCTCAGATAATAATTCTGTGGTCTCTGAAAATCCTACCCATTGCAGTGCTGCCCATAAACTTTGGAAATAGAATCTTGCCAAGTGTGATGGTGTTTCATCGTCTTACTTTGTTCATGCTAGACACAGACTTTTTAAAAAGAAAGTATAATGAAGGGCTGTTTCTCATAGTGGCAGTCAGGACTTATGAAAACCTTTCAGTAACATTTTAATGAGAAGTATTCCTTTTCTCTGTTGCCACAAAACCCGTGTTTTCAGTGTAATTTAACATATCTCTCAATTGTACAGTAAATGAATTGAATCTGGATATCTTATTCCAATATTCCATGTATTTCTTTTTGTCCCTAGACAGAGCTTGGACTTTTGATTTGGACTGTTGGTAGTTCTGCCCATTACTGAAACTATGAAATAGTCCAAAACATTCATTTTGCGAATTTTAAGTTGAAGGTCTTTTTAATACTTAATTTAATTCTAGCAGTACTTCTTGTATAAAAAGTTGTTTTCTGATGCTTTGCTTTCTTCATTCTGATTAGTTTTGCTTTTCTTATTTCTCTAATCTCACTAAGAGTTTTTGTTTTGTTGTTTGGTTTTTTTTTTAAAATATCAGGAAGATCTTGAAAACAGCTGACTCTACGTTACCTGGTTGGGATCACACCCACAGAAGTTTAGGGATATTTAGTAATAGAAAATGTAAATGCAAATGAATTTTCATATTTCAGTGATAGAAATGGGGTCAGAGAAGTGCTTTGACAGGTTAATTGGTTATCCTGGAAGTATGTTTATTATACTAAGAGTTAACTAATGTTTTGCGCTTTTTTTTTCCTTTTTCTAGCTGGAAATCTTGTGTTCAGTCAATATTCTACAATTCATATTTATTGCACTCAGACTAGATGAGATCATCAGATGGCCATGGCTTGTACGTAACCAGTGTTTTCTTCTTATCTTTGTTTAAATGCTGGATTTCATAAAGACATTTATTCTAGGGAACAGTTAATACATGATCAGTTCATGATCCCATTTTTGCTCACTTTGCAATCCTTCACTGAAGGTCTGTCATTTCATTCAGTGATCATGGGAGGTCAGAGGCTGTTCTTTAGGCACATTGTCCTCTGAGGGAGAGGAATGTGCCATCAACCGCAGTTAGTCTCTGAGCAGCAGTTGAAAGAGAAATCCTCACAAGAAGTTCCCAATGGGAACACTAAACAAACAATGAAAATGATTGGTGACTTAAAGAATATGTTGGTAAATACAGTGTAGTAAATAAGTTTTATTTGTTGTGTTACCATGAATATAAATCCACTTACTGTGCAAGTAGTCACTGTCAAAACTGCTTAGTTGTCCTGTCCCAAGTGCCTTTAGAATTCAAAAGCACTGTTTCTGTGTCTAGGTTTTTGTAAACTACCATAAAACTGACAATCTGGCATGGTTACATCTGTCCTTTCTATTGTTAATCTTGAGGATTGAAACCCTTCAAAGTCAGGTATCCAGTGTAGGAAGTACTTGATAAAATTCAGTTTCAAGTACAGTTTGAGCTCATGCAAAATCACAGAAGTCTTGCAAAATTTGGACTATGTTGCCTTAATTTTAAATTGCTTCAACTTGATGGGGTGTAGAAAGCTGAGGAACTCCTGAACTGATACATCTCGGAACACACGTAAGTTTGATGCCCTTCTGTTAAACATCATATTAATTAAAAGACTTAATTTTCTTGTTTAGCCTTAATACGTAGACTCGCTTTAGCTGAAAAAAAAAATCACCCAAATGCATCTTTCTTTCAGGTTGTCTGTGTTCCACTGTGGATCTTGATGTCCTTCCTGTGCCTCGTTGTGCTCTATTACATTGTGTGGTCTGTGCTGTTCCTGCGCTCCATGGATGTGATTGCTGAGCAGAGGAGGACACATATAACCATGGCTGTCAGCTGGATGACAATTGTAGTTCCACTGCTCACATTTGAGGTAGGAAAAGTCATAATGAGTTTAATGTGTCTTGTTCTTTTTTCAGTAAGTAATGAATGATGATTTTTGAACTTACTGAAAAGAGAATGCTGCTCTTTGTTTTGGAATAAAATATTAACAGCAAATATGAAATACAAATGAGAATTCTATATTCCTTTGAAGTGTCTTGAGTAAAGTCTGCATCACGTTGGAATTGTAACTACATGCTTCTGTGAAGGCCATTTTTTCCTCATAGATGTGTTAACCATTTCAGATCAGCATATGCTTTAAGCAGTTTGAAAGTGAGTATTGCAATTAAACTGACATTGTGTAATTTTTTTTTTTTTTGCCATTTAGATCTTGCTAGTACACAGACTGGATGGGCATAATTCTTTTTCTTTCATACCCATATTTGTTCCTCTCTGGCTTTCACTGATAACATTAATGGCAACAACATTTGGACAAAAAGGAGGCAATCACTGTAAGTTTTTCAGAATCTTGGAAACAGATTAAAAATCACTGTATTTTATTAAGATTTGTATTTTCCAAAAGGGCTTTCTGTTACAACTGTTTTCAGACAGTTTTAATAAGGTTTCAGTGCTTACAGTGTCCTCCCCTGTGGCACTGTTTACTTTGATTGAAGTGCAGTCTTTTGTGTTCCTTCTCTGTACTGATATGACCCAACACTGTGTAATGTGTGAAACAAAATGGATTCTTGCTGGGGTAGTGTAGCTGTAATTTAGGCAGATGGATATACACACAGGCATACATGTGCAGACAGGGAACTGCAAATGCTTGTCCAGACTGTCTGTGTGTATATAACCTCAATTATAATATTATGATAGGCATAAGGAATATTATAATGTGTATGCAGCATTAATAAATCTTACTTATATGCAAACAATTAAAAGACCTTAAATAAATAGTTACTTAATTTTAAGTGTTCCTTCTGTTAATAATGTAAAATCATTTGGTTTCTTCTAGGGTGGTTTGGAATTCGCAAAGACTTTTGCCAGTTCCTTCTTGAAATTTTCCCATTCTTGCGAGAATACGGAAATATCTCTTACGATCTTCATCACGAAGATAATGAGGAGACAGAAGAAATGCCACTGCCTGAACCACCGAAAATTGCACCAATGTTTCGAAAAAAGACTGGAGTGGTCATTACACAGAGTCCTGGAAAATATGTGATTCCACCTCCCAAGTTAAACATTGATATGCCAGATTAAGATGACGCTAGCATATTAAAATTGAACTGATCATCAGCAGACAGATGTATTTCATCTCATGCCTTGTCCCAATTCCTTTAAAATAGGTATTGCTGAATCAGTGCTTGGATTACACAAATCAGAAATCTTGAAGATAATCTGAGTGCTTTTCCAGAAATATGTGGTTGTCTAATTTGTGAACCTTCCTAACAGGTTGGTTGCACGCTTGCCTGTATAGTATTTATATGAACATTTTTAGCAGTGTAATATATTGTTTAAAAGTCCTGTTGTGTACAGTATAAGTATTATCTAAAAGTATTTTTTTAAAAACCCTGTATGCAATGCCTCTGCTATTCCAGGTGTCTTTTAGGTCCTAAATATACACTTGATTTTCATGTCTTTTAAATGCTTTGGGATGCCTTAGCATAGTACCTCTTTTCTTCTTTCTCTGTTCAGCCACAATCATTGTCTCAAACACAGAGGCACAAGAGTGTTGCATTTCTGAGGCAACACTGGGAAGCTTTTTGGGGGGGAGTGGAATAGAATGTATGGTGACTTACATGATGCTTTTGAGTTATCTATGTAAATTTTCATCTAAGTATTTCAACTTTTGTGCTGGCTTGGGAGTTACATGTTGTTTTTGTTGCTTTTCCAGTTTCATGTTTTGATTCTTAAGCAGCATGTATCATTCTCCCATTGGACTGGCTGTTCCTCCTTGCATTGTGTAGTCTGTGTCAGAAACATTTGTGGTAGGTTTCACAGCTGTTGGCTAGCTGGTATAAATATAGCTTGGTCTTCATTACCATCTTTGTGTTGGTCGGTGTAAATGATTAAACTCTTCAAGATAGGATCTTGCTGGTGTTGGCATAGCACTTTCCTGCTTGAAGAAAGACCTGCTTTGACAGTGTGCCTTGGACTTAAAGGTGCTTTGGAGAAATGGACTCTATGAAATGTGTAGTCCTGTAGTTTATAAAAACAGATGTCTCATATTCCCAAACCCTTGCATCTGCTCTCTGTGTTTAGGTAATCCACAGTCAGCTTATATCCATGTGTCTTGTTTCTTTAGTTTTAGCATGGCAGTAAGAGCAGAGAGCATGTGGACATTTCTGCATGTGTTTAAGGTGTATGCCTGAAAAAATTGGATGCAGCACTTCCATTTCTGATGCTCCTGAGCTCCCCTTTCTTGCCTGTGGATCAGCCACTGCCCGAAACCCAACCCATCACTATCCCATCCCACAGTTTAAATTTTGTTGCAATTTTATTTCTATATATTTTTTTATATTTTTATTTCTATATATTTTATTATATTCTGGTTAAAAAAATTAAACATCAGTGGGATTGTTACTGGACATCAGTTTGCTGGCACATTACCATGGAGAAGAAAACCAGATGCTGACTTTGCATGAGAAACCACTTCCCAGAAGGAGAACAGTCCATGTACATCAGATCCAAAGGAGAACGCATTGCACAGCTCTGCGATGGGGAAGGCCTCACCTCCTCAGCACAGTGCCAGGGCAGTGGTTCCTGTACAGCTCTATGTGCTGCCACTCAAACAAACACACTTGAGTTCCATCCTCTGCGCCTTCCCTTCAGCCAAGGCACAGCTGGGTGTGGCTGGGGCCAGGGAGCTGCTCTGCTTCACCCAGCCCTTACCTGCAGTCTCTTCCCACCTCTCCCAGCTGTACTGGGAGCAGCTCAGTCTTTGCCCAGTTCCATGCGTGGTTCAAACAGTGGAGCTGCAGGTAGTAGCCCTGGTGCTGGTGGTGCAAGATAATTTCTTTGGCTCTGGTAGAAGTGGTGTAGTCCAAAAGAATGGTTTCCTAAGTGTTTAAGTAAACTGTCTAAATACAAAGGCTCTGCCACTTGTTCTGTTTTCAGAGCCATGCCTAGATGTGGCCTTGCTCCAAAAAATCAAAAGGATTTTCACTGTACTACTCCTAATGTAGGGTTGTGGAGATTGAACTGGTTGGGCATCAGTTTAAGACTGGGGGATGTTAGCAAGCCTGTTCATTCATGGTTATGCTTCCAGAATGTTCTTAGTTCTCTCCCCTGATTGGTTATCATTTGCCACATTATTTTTAGTATTTGTAATCTCAGTCTGTGATTGGAACCCTGCCTTTAGATACACCCTCAGATCTTCCATATATATACTGTTGTACCCACCCTTTTTTCACCTTTTGGGGTTGACCGTGTACTGTGTGTTTGCCTTCTGCCGTTTATTATTTTGCCATTAAAGCAGTTTCACTTTTTGGGTCACCCAGCCAAGCCCATCCTGTTATTTAGCCACACCACTCCTACCTGGCCCAGGTCCAAGGTCATGAAGCCAAAACATGACATAGGCTGTAAGTTTTGGAAACCTCTTGAGAGTCCTGAAACTTAGTAGCTATTATTTGTAATTCTTCACACTTCTCTTGAATTCAGTATTAGGTTTTCAAAGATAACTAGTATTTTTCACCTTAAGAGAAAAAATGTAATAATTTAATTTTGTACAAGCACCTTGTCATAATGGCCTATGCACAATGTTTGTCAGATCACAGAGGTATATCCATTATATGTACATCTTGTGTACCTGAAATACGAAGAAAATAATCTATCCTTAAGGCAGGACAAGGATGGTCTGGGACAGATGTCTTATTAATTGTGGCAGCCTGCTTTTAAGCACCATTTTCCTGTAATCAGAGATGCAGGTGTCAAAAAATCATTTACATTTCAATTGGCCATCCATAACTATACATTTTAAAAATGTCAGTGTTCATACAGGAAAAGTGTAGAAAAAATTAATAATTTCCTGTAATAGTCATAAAGATACATCTTGTTTGCTTTGCATCAAAAAAGTAGTTTTTCAAATATATTTACCATTTGAAATAGTTTTGGAATAGAATCCTAAACAAGATACTGATGTAATTCACAAGTCAGCAACTTAAATAAAAATCTACATTTAGGCAGGAAAAATAATAGTAAGGGGTAACACCTAAAATTCTGAAGGGATCAGTTCTTCAGGGATCTCCACCTGCCACACCCCTGTTCTCCCTCGGGCAGGAATTGGTTCCAGGAGCCATCTGGGATTTGAAACAACAGTCAAGTATTTCTGTTCTAGATTGCTGAGGACAGCTTTGTTTTCCAGCTCCAGAATCTCTTCAGGAGGCAGGTTTTCTGGATATAATGATGTCTCTCCAACGTCAATTAATCCTATATTTTACAATTAAAATATAAAATTACATGTCAGTTTGTTCTCCTAGAGAAAGGTCTTCCAGAGTAGACCTCCCTGAGAATAGTTTTTATAGTTTGTTACCAGAAAAGCACAGTCAGAGGGAGGCACACCTCCCACCCCTGCTGTTTGCTGCAGAAGTCCTTGTGACTCAGCTCAGGTGGGTGAAGAAAAGGAGGAGGGCACAGTTAAAATCACCACAACCCAGTGATGCACAACTCCTTGAAAAGCAGCCTGCATCTAAGGAGACAGCTGCTACCAGAACTCCTGAGCTCCATTTGGCCTTGGACCAGATTCAGTAAAGCATAAAACTCTCTCTGCTCCTTTCAAGCCACTAATCTATTAACATTTTTAAATCATTAAACTGTTTTGAAATTCCTACCGACTCTGCAATTAAGCATGCAATTTATGTTAAGGCTGCAAATCTACATACAGTGTTCAACCTACAGTTTTCAGCTTTTTACTGTTTTTCAGGTTTTAGTGTAGAACCACAACAACGTTCAGTATGTGTGGTAGAATTAATTTGTTGTGCAGAAATAGTTAAAAGTATTCAAATTACAATGAAAGATGGTAACAAAAGTACCTACAATGAAATAGTACAAAATGAGCACTGGATAAAAATTTTGTAAGTGTACAGTGTGCAACAGCTGCTATATATCTGCACAAATTATGCAGCGAAACACTGCTGCCTCTGCACTGTGTGTTACAGAAACAAACTTTTTCACTGCCCAAATACCAAAAGCAACAGAGGGAGTTTGTAAAACTGAAATAGGATTTATTTATGTATAATCTAAAATGACATGCAAAGCGCTGCAATATCATGAATTCACTTGACCGTGAGTACTGTGAAATGGTTTCAGCAAGAGTTCCTAAACTCAAAATGCAAGAAGTGTGGAATTGACATGTATTATGCTAAACCATACAGGAATTGAAACAGACCCCCCCCCACAACTCATGCTCCACTCCTTCAAAGTGTTCAAGAAATGTCATAATGAGTGCAAACACATACAGTAGATAGGTGTTTAAGTGACTGTTAGGGAAACTGAAAGTTTGCTTAGAAAATATAATCCAAGGATGCTTACCTGCAATAACTCCTCTGCCAAATTTTTCCCCTTCATCCAACAAATCTTGCAGTTGTTTCGATGTCATGCCGAACCTATTCAGCAGAATTTCGCTCCACGTTTCGTCTTCCCAGTCCTTAACAGCTATATGAACAGCAATGGTGCAGTTCTTGTAGCCTGCTAGCAAAGGACGCCAGCGAGTCTCTACCGTTTTGACTCGGTTTAGAAGCAACCCTGCGTAGGGCTGTCGGAAGGAAAGGCAACCGAATTTCATCGTGCTTCTTGCATCAGAAGTCGTTTATTTCCTGTAAACACACAGACTCCCGGGGATGAGTCTCCAGAAGCGGCCGATGTCCGTGACAAACACCCGGCTCCGGAGCAGCGGAGCTGCGCGGCCTCCTCGGAGGTGGGTCCGCCCCCGCAGGCAGCGCTCTGCCCGCGTCGTGCTCCAGGCTCGGGCCGCGGCCGGGCCGCGCCGCCCCAACAGCCGCCTCCGGGGCCGGGCACAGCC